CTCTGTCACAGAATTAAATAAATATTCTTTTAATCATACATCATTTTAACGATGACAGCTATTAATTAGTAGAATAAAACGTTATATACTGCCTGTAATAATGTTTTATTCGGCGGCATATTTTTAATACATTGAACGTATTTTCTCACGTAATCCTGACAACGCAAGATCGATTTCGGTGCTCCAAGTCGCCGAACCCCCGCGCTAACAGGAAATGCAGGAAACGTTTTCCAATTTCCACGTTTCATCGTCGGGGACAAGTCCGGGAAGGGTTGGAGGGAGAGACCGATCGATCGGCGGTGCAATAGCTGCATCGCCACCCCTTCATCTTCCGTTTTCAACACTTCAAATCGTAATTCTTTTTCCTCCAAAATCAATGCGAGATGTATTAACGCAAGACACATTAAGTTAAATTACTAAAATAAAGTCAAAACCATTTCTTCGAGATCAGAAAAGAATATAATAAAATATTCCAAACATTTTTTATAATCGACGAGTCAATCGACATATTTTTTATCACATCTCTTTATCGTCATGTCATAGAAACGAGGGCGACGTCACGGCCATGCCATCCTGCTCTCCTTCCTTTTCCTTCTTTGCCTTTTTCGTCTCTATCTTTTCCTCGCCACCCCCCGTCCATTAATTAACAGGCTTTGTACTTTTAAACGATGTTAAATAAACGGTATTGTTCACGGGGAAAGGACTGAAAAGCGGGCGCCATTGTGCTTTAAGCTCGCTCCTCGTCCTCGTCGTCGTCGTCGTCGTCGTCGTCATCGTCGTCGTCGGCAGTAGAAAGAAGGAAAGAGAAGCTGAAGGAGTATTGCCCGCGAATGCCAACTTACTAATACCATCAGTGCTGAGAAGTCTTTGTTCTAAACAAATACGTCGAATACCCCGTCACCCCCGCCGCCCATCCCACCGCCCCTCTCTTGTTCGACCGTGCCACCTGCCTTTCAGACGGGAAAACGTGTATCGATTGGATAAGCCATAATATAAATAGAGAGCAGGGCTACCCCCTTCGCGCGACCGGAAGTCGCTTCGGCTTTTTGACTCCGTACACAAATCTACGCGACCTATGAATCATCAACTCGGATTACTATTTCCGAAATAACGGACGTTTTTACTAGGAAATGACTACCTTTCTATGTACATTTCAAAAGATTATGTTTACATTAAATTGAACAAAAACGTCCATTGATAATAACAAACATATTACGACAAAAACAGTTTCGCATTTTACTCTACCAATACTGATGACATCATAGTCAAGCAAGATAAAGAAACGCCGAATATCTAAGGAATTCCGGAGAAAATATACGTTTCAAGAGGTTTTATTTATTAAGAATAGTAGTTCGATCCCGGCACGGGCTGTGTTATCAGTTCGCTATTGTCTCGAAAGACACAACGTCGGATTCTCATCCAGCGCTTGCCGATACCTTTCTTCGAAGTTCATTGTGCGCTACCACGTATCCGTATTGTCCAACAGTCGACGTGCTCTGTTGTTGTTAGCGGGCAGTAACAACAACAGGAGGAGCAAGGGATTTGTGGGGTTCGCTGTGAATCCTCGGCACCCTGCGCTCTTATCAGTTTCTCTCTATTGCTTTTCTCCTCTCCTCTTTTATTTTCCTCTTTTTTTGATCTTTTAGTTTCACAAAATGATTGCCTGAAAGTAATGGTAATTCGCTAATTCCTAAGAAGTTCAGACTCTCCCTCTACTTACAGTCTTACTTAAATTATTCGAGTTATTCTCACAAATCTATTTAAATTTGTTAATTTTTTTCTTTCCCCATTTTTCTATATCGAAAATTTTTATCTCGTCCGAATGAAACTTTGTATTCTATTGGCCGTTCAGAATATTACTTCGCTTTCTTTCCTTTCTTCCGGCAACTTTTTTATTCGTGTCCGGTAATCCTGACCAAGGCTACATGAAAGGAAAGATATTAAAGTCCTCATGCGAAACTTGGAGAGTACGAAAAAGTCGCTCTCTTGACTACTTCACGACCGGTTCATCCTGAACAAATCCCGAATTAAAACCTCGAATTGAGCCATTTCGTTTGACAACAATAACAACGAAATTTCTTCGTGGATTCCTATTTCCAAGATAATTAACATCGGCACTTCTTGTGTAATTTATGTTTTCACACTTTTTTTTTAATAAGACTTGGATATTTCTTAAGAGGTCTTTCTAAGAAAAAAATTTTTCTAAGGATGTAAATTTAAAGAAACGCAAACCAGATATTCTGGATTCTGTATTCGATCTTTTTGTAGCGATCCTTTTGCTACCGAATTTCTCAACAAAGTCGGTCTCCAGTAAACAGCTGTGAGCTTCGCAGCGTCGCGACGCCGTCGTCTCACCGTGGCGGCCATTGTTGGCAGCGTCGCAGTGCAAATCCCGGGCGCATTGTACCGCCGTTGCATCAGCCTCGGCGTCGGGGTAGGTATCGCACCTCGCTACCAGCGGGTTCCGCTTCCAGAATGCCAGAACCGGGGCTTCGCGCTTTGTGCGCGCCTCGGCGGCCGACAACAAGTGGTAATTAATTCTGTGCAAAACAATCAGCCCGCTAGCACAGTAGAGGGAGACGCAGAGAATGGCGAAGGGGTTAAAAACGATTCGCGATTTATCCCTTCCATCCCTCCGTCCCTGAGGCCCGCCGTGAAATCCCAAAAGCGTTTGAACGCGAATCGCAATGGTGTGTGCACGTATGAAACGTAAACCATATACCGGAAAAGCAATAATTAATCGTATAATGATAATTTTAAATTGCTACCAAATTTGTTTCTCGCAATTATATCTGATATATTATAATTAATAATAAACAGTAACTAATATATGCTCGAAAGTATCAATATTTGAGAATCAATTCTAGAAATTTAAATGATAAAAATTCAAGAAGTTCGAGTTTATGGCGATGCATTAAATGCCGAGAAAATTAGCACTTTGTATTATTTTATCAGTTGACGAAAAATGAAATCGCCTCTAATCATAAAAAGGAAAGTGAACGAGAAAATTTAGGTATCTTAATATAAATAAACTTGAGATAATACATAATGATATAATGATGTAAAGATAATGTTACAATAACACAAATTTTATTAACTTGAACTACCGATATTATTGTAACATTCTGTATACTATTGTATCATTAATCTGCATTATATTAAAATTTACTTGCATTAAGATGCTTAAATTTTCTCGTTCGCTTCCTTTTCTTAAGATAGAAGCGATTTTTCATCAACTGATACATAACTGGTTATATAAAGTGCCAACTTTCTCGATATTCTTAATATGAGTACCATAAATGATCTCTCTTTTCTTAAATATTTATCATTCAAATTGCTAGAATCGACAGTTCTGAAATATTGACTTTCAAACATGTTAATTACTGTTTACTATTAATTACAATATACTGAATACAATTACCAGAAAAAAACTCGTAAAATTAAACAAATTATCCAATCAATTAATTATTTAATATGAGAGGTCTGTTTTTTATTACTGCATTTTGAACCGGTGCAATAAGCTGAAGTGAAATAAATGTATATTTGTTTCACTTCAACTTATTGCACTGTGTGTACCAATTCAGAAAGTACAGCAATAAAAAACAGACCTAAGAATTCAGAATTACGTTTGCAGAGTGATTGTTTCATCTACATATGTAAATAAATATGTGACCGCAAAAGATGTAAATATCTCGTGATACTTTCTATTGAAAAATTTAATTAAAAGTATAAAAATATTATAATTAAACTATCCAGTAGAAGTGAACGGTAAACATGCGTGCTGTCTAGCAATTAGGAAGATACGACTTGGCAACTGGAAAAATTCGAATTGTACACGAAAAAAATGCTACGGTTGCAACAACCGAAAATATGACAGTTCTAATTGAAAAATGTATTGATGGGCCACTTTTGGTTGTGACAACCGTAGCCGCTTTTTCCATGTATGCATATCAATATTTACATTTCAGTAAAGAATCATGTGTCTCTCTTTAACTTTCTACAAGCAAATGTTGGTTAACATGGCTCCTATACCACATTTTTTTTTAATATCAGAAGCTCCATCATATAAATAGATACCATAGCAAGGGAGTGCCTTCGAAACGAAAATCTAACTATCTACTTAATCCTAAATAGATATAGACGTAGTGTGGAAAGATGATCTATTGCGTATAATAGCGGAGGTTCAGACATCTCGACCAATCATTGTCCAGAAGTTGAGCTCATTTAATTAATTGAGCGCTCTGGTCTATCATGTCAGAGGTCCTGGGTTCGATCCTGATAGGAACCAAAATATCTACGCTCGTGTCTCCTCTCGGAGAAGGCTGACAATCTCTCGAGAGTGTCCTTGATAGAGTATCCTCTCCCCTGAGAGAAATACCTCCTGCCCACAGAAATCGAAAAATCCGTCATTCGGAACCAGTAAAACTGTAGGTCTCATGCTTGTGGCAATTATTGAATAATCAACGTACCACAAGCATGAGAGGTGCGACACAGACCAAAGGCCTAAGATAAGAAGAATTTTTGATGTTTTTCTTTTTATCACATAAAATTAAAAATAAGTTTCAAATATTGCAACAAATCTATTAATGGTAATAATATTAAAAATTCCCGTAATAAATAATAAAAATAAATAAAGAACAAACGTGTAATTGGGAATTGGCACAGTGATCGGTGCGTAATGCTCTTCAAAAAGCTTTATCTTCCATAAATGAAATGAGATTTGTACATGTTTCGGCTAGTCTTTTAGCCTTCTTCAGCAAAAACATACGATGTAAGATGTAAGTTTGAAATTCTGTTTAAATGTGGCGGAACAATGTTATTATTAATACAGAATTTGATAAATTTGATGCGAAATAAGTTTTTAAGATGGATCTTTTTCCATCTAATTCATTAATCTATTAATTATTATGAATTGCGTGTGATCTACATATGGAATTGTTATGCGTCTTTCCTGATCGTGATACGCATACACATAAATCATAAGACAAAAATTATTACAGGTGCAGAATGGAAGCTCCTTACGGAGGATGAGAAACGCCCGTTCATCGATCAGGCGAAGAGGTTACGTGCACAACACATGAAGGAACATCCTGATTATAAGTACAGACCGCGAAGGAAACCCAAAACTTTGCGAAAAGAAGGCTATCCTTATAGTATTCCATACCCAAGTGTTCCCATGGACGCTCTTCGAGCAGGTATATATACAGCACATATATACAGACATCCAGCCATAATAATTTCTTATACGGGTAGATATAGCAGACTAAACATTACTTGTTTTAATAATCAAGTAATGATCTCTTATAATACCCAGACAGCCATCTACGTTCTGACAACGTTAGAACATCGCAAACGTATGTTGAATACGTCGTCAAAATATTCAAGACGCGTCTGTGATGTACAGAGTATTTTTTCAGAATCTACTATATACGCGGTTTCTCATTCCGTAGACTTTCGCAGAGAGCTCAGTGATATACCGTAGTTATTCTGAGATGTACTTCAATACGTTTCCAGTACGTCTCTATAGTATCTGCGTGTATATAGTGATGTCTCTAATATATGTCATGCACTACTCAGGTACATAAGGCCTGTTCTTTTTGGCTGAACTTTTGCACCAGTTCATCTTTCTTCCTTTTCTCTTCAGGAGGAAAGAAAAGGAAGAAAAATGAACCGGTGCAAAAGTTCAGCCAAAAAGAACAGGCCTATATACGCAGCCTCGCGCACATGCTTGCGCATACAGTGCTGAACGAAAGTATTAGTACACGATTACTACTATGAAATAGTATTTTCGGAGAATTAAATCTTTGAAAATACTTTTATTTTATAGTAGCATCCTCTGTGTTCAATATTTTTATCCAGCACTTTTGTATATTACAATTTAAAATGAGGTTAGATCAGTGAACATTTTGGAAGCTGTAAGCTTATTAGCTATGGCGTTACATTTTGCCGCACGACAGGCGTTTCCACGTCTAGTGTGCAGGAACCACAAGTCGGTACCACTCTTTCTAGCATAAATATTTAAAT